TTATTACCCCGGTCATTGGATCAAACACATATGGATCACATTGAACACTAAACGAAATTATTAAATTAAATTATATCTCCATAATATTGCAGCTAGTAATCAGTATATGGGCATCCAACAGTTTTTTGTCAGATAATTTTATAATCTGGACCCAGCTTTAACTTCTATACACTAAGTGGCCTGCACAATAATTAATGTCATTATTTATTATGATTTACAGGCTTGTAACTTGGCCTATAGGAACGCCCCCCCCCCTTTCTATGAACCTGGTTACAGACTTGATTTGGTCCTGCTAGTAATCTTAACTTCATAATATGTAAGCTAAACATGTGCAGTAAAATAGTGGGTTAACTACCTTAAGACAGAGATCTACGCAGACTAGGCTAACAGCTTTATGACAGCAAGACAGTTTGGCGCCATCTATGTTGGACTGACTTAGTGTTTCTTCTTCTTCTGAACTCTTTGGTAGCTTGTCAACTGCCAAGACAAACACAGAAAATAAAATGATTAATAATTAAAAATTTACTATTTGAAATACATTTCAACTATTAGACATTGATAATTATTTCAACTTCAACTTCAACTTTATTTTCCAATAAGTATAAGTAATCTAAAATTCAAATAAATACATAAACCAATATAGGAAGGAGCTAGAAAATAGTGTAAACACTAATCAAGTCCAGCCCCTTTAAAAACGTAAAGCAATTGCATAATTCTATATATAGGGCAAAATTATTACTTTTTCAACTTACCAAATATCAAATATACCATTTTAAAGCAAAAGAATAAATAAAATTTATCAAAAAATTCATTTCGAAGAGAGAATATATAGTACATACATGATTACATAAATATACATATAAATAATGGGTAAGTTTACTTAAATAAAAATAACTTTAGTTTTCTCTTAAAAACAGATTTTGATTCATGTCTGATATATTCTGGAATTGCATTCCATAGTCTAGCACCAGAACACCCAACAGAGAATTGTCCCACATTACTTTTATATTTTGGGATAGTCAGATTCCCCTTTGTTTGAGCCCTTGTCTGTGATAATGCTGAACATATGAAAAATATTAAGGAATTGTTAAAGGAAATCTGCGGTTAATGCTGTCATAAACAAATAAAGTAATTGAAATTCATATTATTTATAAATGTTAAGGAGTGCCAATTCTGTAAATAGTGATGATGTGTGTGCTAATCTGTCTGAATGTGTTATAGTGCATACAATTCTTTTTTGAATAAGGTGTATTGGTTTTAAGTGTGTCATATATGTATTTCAATACATGAAGGAGGAATAAAATTCTTTAATTTGTAAAGCAAGCCAGCCTTAGAGCTAATACTTTTATTTACCTTATTATTTGTTTAAACAATTTACAACTACTGTGAATGTCAAACATCCATACAATAAGAAATAATTTCTCTTGGTTTTACTGGAAATACTTCAATTACTCAGACAGACTTATTTTATACTTTAAAAGCAAATTCTCACATATATACAGTACATCAAGATATGTTAAAACAGTTAGAATAGTACAATTTCAAAGTTATATATTTAGAAAGCTATTTAAATCGTATGTTTATAACAATTTCATCAGATTCACCATTAATTTTAAACAAAATATACCAATAAACTTAAATAAAATTGTACAAAAATAGCTATTAAAATCATTTCACATCAAGACAAGAAGCATCATAAAATATACAAGTATAAGTAATTTGCTGAGTATCTTAATTATAAATGAATGAATTTAATTGTGAGATCTACTTACCAGCATCTAAAAGAAAACACTGCCAGATTTCATCTTCAACAAGTGGTTTATCACAATCCTTGATCAAAGCTGCTATAATATTTTCCTCACTAGTCATATTGTTCAGAGCGTGCCGACATGTTTCGCGGCACAGGTTACTTGGTGAACGCTCACAGCAATGAAGGCCTATAGAAAGAAATGAATAATATAAATATGTAAATGTTATATTTAAGAGTGGAGTGAGAGCTTGGTGCTTAAGATGTTTGCCTTCAAATTCCATAAATTCTTGGGTTCACATCCTTTATAAAGTTATTTATTTTTTTATATAAATACATATATTAAGATCTTGATATAGTTTATCTTTATAGTGTAACAATATGTACACACTTTTTATCTGACAATTTTGATACATATTCAGATATACAAGGCAACAACATAAAACTGACATCACACACGTATTCAGACAAATTACTATATTAAAAAATCTGAAGAATTTATGAATAAAGAAAACATGGAGACATAAGTTAACCAAAAGGTGAATAACTACAGTAGAAGATAAATCAAAATGCTAAATAGAAAGGCGAACTCCACAAATCAAAGTCTACCTTTGGCAGCCTTAACAATGACTACTGTATATATATAAATTTTTTAGATAATTAAAAAATACTTGTATTCATATGAATGTTTATAGAACTATATACATGAGTCACAGAATTTGGTAGGCCTACATTTTAATGGGCAGTGGCAAAGACAATACTACTGTATCCTCAAGTATAAGCCCACTTTAGTTATAAGCTCACCTCCTACTTTATGCCCAAAAGTTGGGAAACGATCTGAATGAGTTGCTTTGCTGACATTTACAATTGTTTTCAGGAAACAAAAATCGAAGATTGGCTTTAAATTATGCATGCAGTGTGAAAAAAATTCCATTTGATTGGCCAGCCCAAAAAATATAATACTATCTAAAACATGCTGTCATTTTTTTAAAAGGATTCCTCAGGTATAAGTCCACCTCCCCAACACTGACCCAATTTCATAATCAAGGGATGGAGGCTTATACTAGAGGAACTATAGTAATAAAATTGATATCCACAGCGAACCATGTTGGAGCATTTAGGATGTTTAAACTTTTAAATGCATAGCAATGCTCATGACTAAATAAACATGAAGATCTAGAATGTAGGCCTAATTTTTGTGTTGCTGCTTTAAAAACAGCGATATTCACAGCCACTGAAATCAGTGAGAGTTTTGCCGCCTCTCTTTTAGGTTCCTTTCACACTTGCTCGCCTCATTTGACTTATTGGGTCTTTGCATTACATTTACATTGTAATTGTTGTTTTGTTTGTTGACCTTGTTTTATGAGAGAAAATATGTGAATTGAAATCAAATATATTTTGTAGGTTTTAGCAAACTTTACTTTAACAAAAACACAAACAAAAAACCTGAAAAGTAAGAGAAACATACTCTCTTTTGGATCCCTTTTCGACTGTGTCATTCTGGTGTAGTTGTTAACACATGTACTAATATTTTCATCGACTTCAGCACAGTACATTTTAGCGTCTAAAGCCATTTGTTCAGTTGGAGAGACAGTATCAAACACCGCTGCGCATTTCAGCAAACAAATCGAACCAGAAGAGGCCCTTTGACAGCATGTTTTCTTCCCTATAATCAAAAAAAAAATTAATGTAAAACTACTTTACATTATTAAATAAAACCTACTTACTATAATTTAAAATCCTCATAATGAAATCAATGTTATGAATTAAAAACTTTGGGTGAAAGGATATTATGTTTTTAGCATATTGTAAATTTATATTTTTACACTGTTGTTTAAAACAAGGTTTTATTTTGCAAAAATACTATTCCACAGTAATGTAAAAACATTAATAAATTATATAACAGAAACTAATACAACAGAATACTTTGCTACTGCTCCTATTTGTTTTGTAATAAAAAAAAAAATTAAAAGTAAATGTGATAAGTTTATATAAGGTATGGTAGATTGTGTGTGTGTGTGTAGTGGCATTAAGCAGTACAGAAGTAATTTCTTAACATTAAAATATAAGGCATACTTACAGCTAAGCCTGTTGATGCATTGATACAAGGGTCCCTATTGAAAAGAACAGTCAAATTTTAAAGATTTGATGGACAGAAATAGCAAAATTAATAACCACTCTAGCATCACTGTATATAATAAACAGGAAGAATTATTGTTAAGTACATAAATGAGAAGCATTTTGAACAAGGGAATAAAAAGCAAATATTCAGGTAATAGTCAAAGGAACTTCATGGTAATTTTGATTTATGATGTTTTTTGCATATTTTTAAGTAATACAGTACACCATATTTCTTCATCCTGAAAGTTCAAGGCTGAAATGAGGAAAATTAAGAGACAACTACAAGTTGTTATATTGTTACCTAACAATAGATAAACTAGTGGGACATCCGAAGCTTATAGTCAACAAAGCATTTAGTGTCCATAGAGGTAATAAAAGTGAAAATAGGGGGTGCATTGATAATACAAAAAAGACTCCTTGTTCAATTTATGTCAGTTTTTAGAAATACTACAGAAATAGTACAGATTCAAAGTTTAGCTGTGTGTTTAAAATCTAGTGCATGAACTATAGTTTTATTTGTCCCGACGTGTTTACATGACATATAGAAGCCCCAATGTATGAGATATGAGCACATTCCTGCCAGCAGTTTCAGAGGAGATAGGTGAAGTTACGCGATTAGTTGAATTAATATATAGATTTGGCCTTATACTTGTGCCTAAAAATTTAAAAGTTACTGATATTATTATTCTATTTTTATAATACCTGAAACTTTTATGTTAAAAATTTCATACAATATGAGAAGTACAACCCCATCCATCCAGCCTGGGCTGTGATGGCAAAACAATGAACTTTCACATGACCAGCTAATCAACCTCTCTACTGTGCATTATGGTTTATGGTACATAAACAATTGTTGATGCACACAATTAAATACAGTAAACAGTACTTTCACACCTACTATACTAAGTGTTATCTCATTTTACTTGTCACTGAATCAATTAGGCCTAACTGTTTACAGTTTTGTGATAATAAATTTTGTCAAATCCTAATGGGGATGAGGCACCTAATGTATTCAAGATGCAAGTTGCCATAGTTATGAACAATGACATAGATCTACAACATACTTACAATTAAAATTATAAATTATAATACCCTGATTAGACAGGACAATTGTTATGTGTTTCTTTAAGTAATCTGTAAAAAGTTAATGATAATATATTTGGTTGGTAATCTAAAGGTGCCATAGACAAGAAATATCATACCTCAGCCCCACTATGATGGGACTGAGATAGTTTGGACCTTCCGTCTGTAAAATTTCTCTTCCCAACACTGATTTCCCACTTGGTGTACTGCTTTACATTCTTTGACAAGGCACTTTATCTACATTATCTTTATAAAAGTGTAGCCTACTGGGCACTAGTTAGCTTTGAATGCCAATCCATCGATTACTAGCTATACAACATTAATGAAAATTTTCCTTCAGGAAACTGAGTATTTGTGAGTTGTCATGACAAAATGGATTGTTCCTGAGTAGGCCTACATCTAGAGTAAACTAATTTTCAAATTCAGAAGTCTGAAAATATATTTAGAGAAAACTGCAACTAAAGATTACAACTAATAAATTTTGTATCGGTTTTTAAAAAAACACTTTTAAAATGTAAATCAACTCTGAACATTTGTTCTTGAAATATACACAGTAAACTTATTAGAAAGATTGAAACCTAATATTTGTCAAAACATCACTTCAGATATATTTTCTTGAATACAGTACCTCAAATTGACCTGGCATACAAAACTCATTTTGTCATGACCCTCTGTCAAGGGTTGTGGTAACATGCACTATATACATGTATAAAATACCCACATTATTATTAATATTATTATTTTACTCATTAAAGATATTTTAATTCTGTCATTTTTAGTTATTATTTGCAGAAATGAAATCAGAATTTTAAATGACAGTTAACGAGAACTTAAGAGTTTGAACCCAGATTTGACCTTGGCCTTCCAAGTACTGCACCTAAAACAATATGATATTATTGTTTTTAATATGCCTCGATTTGCTGAAAAACATGCCGTATGCCAGCACCCGTCCATGTGAACACAGAATATAATAAGAACCTTGTGTTAAAAGCAACAGAATGTTGTAAACCCATGCAAGTATTTAATTGTTTTCATTCTCGTACACACATTTCATTTTGAATTGAATTTAAATCTATTTGGCACTCCAACTCACAAAACTTTACAGAAAATGTTGCACAAAGCAAAAAGAAAACCATTCGCCTCACTTATCCAGCTTGGGTATTGTTTTTATTTGATTCTAAAAAGCTTCTAATAATTATATAAATACATATATATATCATATATTAGTCAAAAGACTGAACAGTTTACAATTGGCCATTTGCATTCATTATATGACAAGCTCTTTCAAATGTAACATTCGTTAAAAAACTTAACCAAGGTTTAAGAAATTCCTGCCGAATGGTGCATAGGGAAGTCTCTTAGGTGGGGATTGGAGAGTTGGGATTTACGGTAATATTTGCTCCGTGGAAAAAAACCTTTTGAATTTTAGTATAACTGAACAAATACCCTAAGCATCTTCACCTCCAAGACACAAGCCCTACAATATTACCTGGACCCAAGCCTTAGTCAACACAGTTTGGTATGCTTGCAGCCTACTAGTCAATGTACAGTATCATACCTTTTCTAAACCATGGAGGAAACTAATTCCTCCATTGATAAACATAGCTCCATGGTCTTACTCATGCAGGGAGATCCAGAAATTTTTTAATGTGGGGTGGGGGGGCACAACATATTGAAAATAGATCAGTGAGTAGCACTAATTTCAATACGTAGGCCTATGCATTGCATTGTAATTTAAAAATTTAGTGGCAAAATGGGAGGGGGACACGTGACTCCTGTGACCCCCTACTTGATCCGCCCCTGTACTGATGCTATATAAACATTTATCTTGCCATATACTATCATATGTGGCAGACAAACAAGGCCTAAGATTAACCAAAGTAAAAATATCATAGTTTGGCAAAGCATGGAGGTATTGAGAAGGAGATCACTCAAAAAAGCTCCGTGTACATAGCGCTATGCAAATAAGCCAAGAAAAAAGCTTCCACAGCGCGTGAAGGACGTTTGTGCGATGCTTTTGAAGTCTAACGTGTTCCCCGCCACCAAATGCTCAGCAGGCTTAGTTTACCAAAAAATCAAACAAGGCGAAATGGAGAACACCTTCTTTTCTCATTGTGCCCAACTTACAGTCAATCACTATGGCTGCGCAATCGTTTTCACCTTGAAGCTAATACATTTATCTTTCATGAAATACCAAAACATATTAATATTTCTACAAAGAGTTTCTATTTAATGAAACATTTATACGAGATTTAAAAGTATGGTATATTTCAACTTGAATTTCCATAAATTGGATAAAACTCGATAATTCTAATTTTAACAGATATTAATTAAGTAATGATTGAGGATTATAATAAACTAATTAATTTTAGAGTGAACAAGTGTGGACTATTATAAAATTTAATCCAAAATCAGAGTAATTTTCAGTTTTACGCTGCTTTAATGAATAATTTTAATGAAGTAATTGCAACATATTTTGCGAAATCTGTTCATAAAATATACACGTAATAACATAATAAAAGTCCGAAAAAATCCTATCAGGTGAATATTGTTAATTTCAAAGATATATGAGTTAAAATCAAACGGTTTAGCGCACAACTGCTGTGTCGTTGCCAAGTTGTTCCTAACAAAAAAAAATGTTGATAATAAGGTAATACACCTGCATGCGATCCAAAAGCGGGGAACACATTGGTTAGTTGCCGAGTGATCTTCTCAATAATACCTACATGGGCAAAGGATGACCAAGGTTGAAACTGCTGACTCATCCAGATCCAAACACATTACTCTATTTGTATAGGATTTGTCAACAACAGTATTGTTAGATGATAATTACATAACTTACCTCATCTTCATGATTACAAAATGATGATAAGTCCCCCTGAACATCTGCCTGAAAGATAAAACAATCTTTATAATAATTTCAGTAGCACTAGTAAGGAATAGGTTACTGGGTTTCAAGAGATGACCTCTATGTTCAAGTAATTCAAAATGAGTGATACGGCCTTCAGCATCCATGTGACAACTCAAACAATTTACAGCCCAGTCAAATGTTTCATTGCCACTAAAACTTTTATCGTAATTTCCGTAAAAATTTTATCCTCTAAATATTTGAAGAAAACTTCATAACAATGTCCTTGTTAGGAGATGTTATCCTAAATACAATTAGCAATGTGTCGCACCACGGTATTGGAGACGTGATAGCTTGAACATTTTGTGTATAATGTTTGTTTTTGAACTGCAGTGAAATGCATGCGTTGTGACAGATTAATAAAGCCAAAGAGAAAAAAAATGGAATACTATAAGCGATTGAGAACCAAACCTAAACTTAATATATTTTATCATCGCCTTCACACTATATATATAGGCTAAAATGGCTAATATTGTAAAAATGAATCAATCATTTAAGATCCCTGGAACAAGTATTGTAATGAGTTACCCCAAATTTTGCAAGAGGCAGGAACAATAAATTTTTTTTTTTAATGTATAAAAAAGAATACTTTTAAACGTTTCATTCAATTTTTAAACATTGACTTACTAGTACTTACAGCAATTACCAATTTTATTACTACCTGCATGGAAAAGTGATCAAATTCTTAACTTGTTTTTATATTTCTATCGATTTTTTTAATACATTTTTAAAATTTTAATCTAATTTCAAAACACACTTTTAGACATTTTTTAAATGAATTACTTTCCATGTTGGTATTTTAGTGTAAATATTAGGTATTGTTTTCATTATCTTGTTTTAATAATTTATTAATAATATCTAATTGGTATTTTTTTAAATTATTATTATTATTTTATTTAGGCACACAACACATGCACCAACGATTGTATTGAATATTATCACTATCCTACTTTGTAGGTGACAATCCCTTTTACAAGACAATCATGTTCACATGTGATGCTTTACACAAACTAAATCTGAATATGAGGTTTAGGGAATGGAGTTGTCTGGTTGTGAGACAAAATCCTGCAACACTGACAGGAATTGAACCCATGACCCTAGGATTGGAAGGCAAGCATCTTAACCACTAAGCTATTCAACTCTACTCTGATGGTTTTAATCAGGACCATATGGTAGATCAATTTTAGTATGCATTGTTAATTTTACTATTGTACATTTACTTTCATTGAATATGTATCCTGAATAAATATATGGTGAATAATAACAATTAATAATAATAATAATAATAATAATAATAATAATAATAATAATGACAATAACAATAATAATAATAATAATAATAATAATAATAATAATAATAATAATTTAATAACAATAACAATAATAATAATAATAATAATATTAATAACAATAACAATAATAACAATAATAATAATAATAATAATAATAATACTTTTTTATGACTATAGAATAGAGATATGCACTATTTATAAAATCATAGTATAGATGTGACGAGAGTACTATTAGGTACTATAGGTAAATTTTCCAGATGTGATAACAAGCTAACCATTGATCAATGTGAATGCCATTTGTGGTTTCATCTCTGAAAAGCATTTTATTATTATTATTATTATTATTATTATTATTATTATTATTATTATTATTATTATTATGCATTTATATTACAGTAGTAAATTTATAATTTTTTGAATTAACACAGAGTAATTTACAAACAATGAGTTATTTTTCTTCATAATATTTGACTAATCAATCTATCCAATCATTCATTTACCATAATAGAAAACAGATTACTAATTGTTATTGATCTCAACACACCTGGCCAATCGAGGTATACACTATTATTATAAAGACGGACGTCTAAATAATAAGAAATTATTGACATACAAAGAGACAAGCTTTCATCCAGTCAACTAGATTGAATCTGTCATTCATTACAATTAGATCCTTAATTAAAGGTCGTAAGGTTAAAAGCATATAAGTATACATAGGATGTACGATCCCACAGACATGTTCTATGGCAACCATCTGGATTGAACTTCATAATAGAGACTACAATCTTCGCCTTGGCAACTGTCATGCTCAACCTAAACATACTCATCAAAGACTTCAGTTAAAAGACTAAATAAATAGACTCTCTTGAAGCTCGGACCACTAAAAGCATGAAGAGATTTTCCCAGACAGATGATATCAAATGCTTGGACGAGTAATGATTGGGGTCAGATTTATGGGTCAGTAAACATCTTGTGATGACATTCATTGTGTTATCAGAGGCGAAAACCTGGAATGGAAAATCTACCAAAAAAAAAAAAAAAATTAATAAGAACTACTCAATATGCAATAAATATTAAGCCTAATCACCTTTTAGTGGAGAAGATTTGATTCAGCGCCCAGTGTGTAGATGATGCAGGAAAGAAAATAAAATGAGACAGGGATGAGATGGGAAAGAGAAAAGTGGCGATATGACAAGAAGAAGATGAGTTGAAAAGATAGAAAACATGCCCTGGGACAAAAATGGTGAGGAAATTAATGCAGTATGGTTGCATATCCTTTGATTGATAAATGATTATATTTGATTTCAAAGTGACATTCAAAAGCTTAGAACAGAAGGAGACAGTCCTGCTAAATACGATCATGATTTTGAACATGATTATATTAAAATTTTTACAATATCACAAAGTTTTGTAATGTTATTAATAAAAATATTTAAGAATAAAAACGTCACGATCACAGATCCTATCTTGGTATTATGTACTCATAAACACAGATCATATGTTTATAGGTTCTGTGTCATAACAAACCTCTATACATCTGTAAATGTATTTCAGCAAACGAGAGCAGAAGTTGGATACAAATGTTTAACTTATATTTAATCTAAAGAATACACTTTATGAATGATTACTTAGGTCTCAATCACCATTAAAAGGTTCTGAAAATAGAACCAGATGTAACCTAAGGAGAGAGGGATAGACAAATCAAACATACTTTAGTCGGAAGCCCACATTGAATAAATATGAATCAAATGTAAGTGCTTAAAATAATGGACATTATGAACAGAAATGCTAGCTCATCAATCACGAGAACCAGCATTTCATCAGAAAGAAAACTGAAATTAACGAGGCTTTTCTTCCTATAAAACCTTTTACATAAACACATCAAACATGAAATCAATTTAATCTAAAGTATTTCTGATGATTTCCATCCATAATTTTCTTTCCGACTAAGCAATCACAAGAAAGTCACCACCTTGGTTAAATTATTATTGTTGTTGGTATTTGTCAAATACTTCATAAAATCATGTTCTCCATTCTGGTTCATTAGACACTTACAGAAACTGTTATATGGAGTCGATCAACCAGTTTTGATCGCCTGGTCTGATTGTTTCTCTGAACAGCCAACTATTTTCTACAGGTCACCGCATCTGTCCATCATTTCAGCGGCATCTCATTCATCCTTAATTTGAACTTCAATTGAGGCAAGCAAAGTAGAGTGTAAAGGGAAAAAGAAAGCACGCTTTGTTTATTTTCTGTCTATACACAGAACATTTTAGTTTAGAATTGTTGAAGGTATGGTTTTCATCGAAATGCATGTGGTGTTTGTGTCTTTACTATTCAAACTATCTTCCATTCTCCCAATTCAAATATACTCTTGGTAAGAGCAAATAAGGTTCAATCCCCATCTACAGAAGACTAAGAGCTTGGATCATTACACAATCAGCGTATTACTGGCTGTACCAGGAACTGCCCAACCAGAGCTAACTTGTCTAACAGAGGGTTTGGCCATTTTTGATGAAGACCAGCAGGCTCTAGGGGGTGAAGCCTTGATACCCGGCAACTAATAAAAATTGGTAATTTTCAGCCAATGATATATGCCGTTCTGAGACCTTTTTTTAGCATTTCATTTCATTTGCACCATGTATTTTGCCCAAAAATTGTATTTTTAAAAAGCAATTCCTTTGGTGCGACAAGGTAAAAATACTGCAGTACACCATGGAGGTATCATAGTGAAAGTTTGATGAAGGGACTATTTTTTTGTCCATACAGTAGAACATTTAATTTCTTTATCTTACATATTTTTTTCCAAACCTAATGGACCAAACTGACTTTCAGAAGTGCTTCTTCCCTCCAGACCAAAAAGTGCATAACCTTATATTTTTAATAAAAGCTTTTCTGCCTGAGCCACTACTCAATTCCTTATCTATATTTAGATCTAGTAAAACGTATTATCGAATAGAATTAATGAAAGGTTTCTCAGCAGATTCTACAAATATTTAATTTAATCTAACCGCACCATTATGATCTGTTTTCTTAGCCATTCTCTTGTCACATCTTATTATTGGCATCATAAGCAGTTTGAAATCCTTTGCAGTAACACCACTGTCACTGCCACCTTATCAAATAATTGTTTTATAATACCTAATTATTGGAGACAGACAGAGAAACAATAGATTTATTTTCCTTATTATATTATTAACAAGACCTACCATATATAGAAAATTTGATATAGATGAACCAATCTCTTACTGTATTTTGATTTGTGACAAAGTCTTCTCGCATCTTCTTCGTATCTTGAATTTACCGCATGTAGGCATCAGTGGCAGATCCAGAACTAATAATATAAGGGGTCAAAGGAAGGCTTTTTGTGGGGCTCAGGTATAACATTTTATGGCTATGGAGCTTCTAGATGGCCAAAAATGTACTTAATTTTAATGTAATTTTCTGTTTTTCCCATTTTTTTCGAAAAATTATTGGGGAGGGCAATAAAAGCACTTGCATTTGATGCTTGTGAATAGAACATTTTGATGCTTGTGAATAGAACATTTTTGTTGTGGTGTGAACAGAGTACGCCTTACCATACACTATGCTTAATTAAATTATTTTATTGCGAGAGCCATCTTGGGTAAATATCAGCAGAAAAAATAGCATACGTCAACACAAGAAAAAAATACATACAACTGATAAAGAAAAGTAGGCCTATCTCATTAAATCACGCTTATTATATTACTTTTTTGAGCTATGAATATCCTGTTCTTTCTATTTTAAAGCTAATCTAACACCTTCAACCTATTTATGGGTATATTTCCTAATCTAGGATAAACATTATCACAATTCAGTGTGATTTATTCCATTGAAAACAACAAATGAGACACCAAAGTAATATCTCATTCTGGTATGGTAATCAGGTATCCTTCACACAGGCAGGTGTCAGCCTGATACTAATTTATGCTTCTTTGATCTCATTATCCATCTTAAGGTGTAGTATCAGTTGAAAGTGTTTGTGGTAATCACCCAATTTGTCCATCAATAGTCTGGTTAAGTCACTTGATGCTAGGCTTATAGTAGATCTTGCAAATGGCTTAATTGTCTGGACATTTTTATATACCATAGAGTGGTGATATATAGCTTATCTGTGGTAAATAGAATTACATGTAATACACTGTACTTTACTGGATATGCTATACTAGTGTACCACTGTAACTTTTCTTGGGAGATTTATGATTTGATGAATAGTTTTAAAAAAAAAACCCGAATTTAAGTAATGTATCAAGTTGGTTCATGCAGAATGTAGAAGTGCAGAATGCAGAAGTTGTGGCGAAAGACAAAAAAAAAGTGGAAGAAGATGATTCTTGAAGCCTCAATGTCCAATGAGAGGACAGGAGAGCGTTAAGTTAATAAGTTGGTTCATAGTGAAATACCAGTATGTATGCTATAAATAGAGAAACTGAACTTTGAATCAAGTTAGTAATGTTTAATGTAGAGTACATATTATGCTCTTGTCCAAAAAAGTCATTTACTCAACTTTTTTTTTTTTTTTTTTGGTTTATTAAAACTGTTTTAACCACGTTTCAGCTCCATTAAATTTGTTTAATTAGTTTGGAACAATATTGGGATTTTACTACTATAGCAGACTCGATGAGTTATTAGCAGGCCTAAAATAGGCCTACACGGTGTAGGCTACTTGCTGTTGATGAAATGATGCCTGAAAGGAACTTATGGCCTGTAAACATCCAGGTTTATAAAAGGCCTACAATTCAGTCAGTTATTATGAGAATTCGCATGGGTAATTCTATTCTATTGATCTCTATTTGATTGACAGAACTTTTTTCTGAGTCATCACTCTTAACTGATGGACAGATTTTAACCTAGTTTTTTATATAGGTCTAATGATTTTAGGCCTAATGGTGCATTCCACAAGTGAAGCTAGTTGTGTGCAAACAAGCGAATGACATTGCATGTCCCATGGAGAGGTTTCTGTAACACCTGTGTTATTCCACTCTCAAAGTATGGCCCTGCCTCCCTAGAGAACCAGTTCACATGGCAACTGCAAATAGCATTATGACATGATTGAGGATCGCTCATGGGAAATGAAAAATGGTTTAGTGAGAAATTCTACTGCAAACCAGTGCATTGTAGATCAAATTTCTAGTGTACAATAACATCTGAAATTTTGTATGATAACTTATTAAAAGATATATTGCTTTCAAAAATATAAATTTTGTATAAAAAAAACGAATTACTAAAAACTGGGGGAAAAAGGGCGTAACCGCCAAATTTTACACCTTTTACCCCAGTTTTTAAATATTCAAAAATCTGTATCTCATTCACCGTTCCCCCAGTTCTTCGTCAAACTACTTTCTTCTGTCTTAGAAAAATCAGATCTACAACATATCAAACATTTTTTTTCCTCCGGAGTCTGACTTTAATAATTTGTAATGTAATGAGCACTGCACTATAAGCGCCTCTCTTGAAAAGTGGTACACTAAAGGTTTATGGAACATGTCAGCCTATTATATTTTACATCAGTATTCGCTTTTATTTTTGTTTCGTCTCTTGGCGATATCTTGGAGGTATGTACTAGAAACACAAGCTAAATCGAATGAGGAAGGTTCCAATATTGCTCAATGTGCCAATACCAATTAGAGTAGGTGTGGAATGTTCACTTGGAATATTGCATAGGCATCCTCTTATATATCTCTGGAGATAGACACTCAATACATGATTGTTTACACAGTCCTCATCCCCACCTGGTCTGTAGTTCAACATCAAAAACCTTCCCATGTTATTAGAAAAAACAGGCACAGTCAAAGTTGAAGGCTTTCATGAATTATTCATAATCTAAAATTTTTCTATGAATTGTGCAAAATGTCATCTTTGACATGTTTCATCTCACCTATAAGGTATATAATTTTTTATTTTTAGGGCAGTTACCTTCAATTTATTATTCTTTGGTTACGCTAACATAATGCTAAACATATTTCAGAAGTTGGTGGCATAGGAAAGTTAAAAAAATGTCTGCTTTTGAGAAAATAGGTTACACTTTAAAAATAAAACAAATAAAAATGTGGATAAAACCAGAAGTTAAAAAATATCGTAATACAGTTGTTTAAAATTGGCAGTTAACAATTTGATATTAAAATATTAAAAAGATGCATAAAATATAACATACAACACAATATACCAAAAAACAAAAATTAAAAAATACTGTTTACTCACATTTTGTTTAGTAGACTGTCTAATTTTCAAATTATTGGTTTCTTTATTCAATCATTATTTTAAGGCTTGTGTCTTATTATTGTGCAACCAGAGTGCTGCCTGTTGAATGCCCTATTGTTTCATTATAATATTTGTTTCCTATGTAAACTTTACTCACTGTTAAAATGCTGGAGTAAATTTAAAGACCACAACTCTCTGGAGTCTATTATTGGTCTATTTTATAAAATACCATTACAAGACTACAGATTCTTTGTATTGAAGTCTATGAATACAATAAACCTGTGCTGGTAGTTTCCTTACATCTTGGGTTCACCTCAGTTCATTCTACGGAATTCATTGAGAAGGCAATAAAGAAACAGGTAAAGAACAAAAAGAACCACCTTAACTTACGATATCCTGTAGGACACAAAACAAAGAAAAATAATACAAAAAACTTTTTAATGATAAAATCTGGTATAAACCTAAAAAATTTAATTAAAACATTGAATTGTCCATTTAAAATATCAAATAGATTATCAACATCTGACACAAATTGAAATACTATAAATTAGTACTGTATAATATGTTGCTTTGAAGAACTTGTACTACAAAAATAAAAAATATAACAGCTAATTCAAGAATTGATGCAGATATTATAATATATTAACAGTAGGCCTATACTGGTTTTAAGATATTGAATATTGTTTTGGGGATACTTTTTTCTGAAGCCATTTAAAAATGTATCAGCAATTGTGACTAGTTGCAAGAATAATTCTTGTAATTGTTCTTTAAATACTGGTTGGAAAATGTTCCTCACTTTTTCAAAATTAAAATGTGGCCCTCCACTTACAGAACGGAAAACAATCAGTTAATACCAAAATGTATTTTAAAAAGTTGCTTTCCATTTATGAAATAACAAAAACATAAACAATAATATTAAACATAGTTTGAAATTATATGAAGGGAGAAATTCTGTAATCTCAAACACATAAATGAAAATGATATGCCAAAGGGGACAGAGATGACAACCGGAAACAACTAGCCAATCGCTGAAGGACAGATATGAAGTCTAAGAATGTATGCAATTATATGTGGAATTAGAACATACGGCCTACAATTTGATTTGGAAGTTTGACAATGATTAAAACATAAAATACTAAATGCTGAGATGGATAACTATATTAAAACCAGCAAGTAAAGAAGGTTTTGTGCAATGACGTGGTAGCCATAATCAAGGGCAGAATGCAGACAGGCCTACATATTGCGATAGATGTGATTATAAACCAAGCAATTAGCCTCTGGTTACCAAATCTAGTCTCCCATGGAAGTGTCTACGCTGTGGGACAGGACAAGAATCTCAATCAAAGTTCAATAGTTTACTGCGCTGATGTTTCCTATCAAATCATGGCTAATCATAGAGAAAGAAATTAAATTATGTTCTGTCTCTATTCCAAAAATAATAATTGTGTTATATAAGTACGAATCAAACATCTTTATTAGTAAACCTTACCTGCATACAAGCAGTGTGACAACGACTTGATTGGGCATTGATGCAACAGACTTTACCAAACCAACCAACGTCTTCCTGCCAGATATCTATAAAATACAATAAAAGACATACATAAAATTCTCATATTTAAAAAAATATATTTAAAATATAACATATACCATAATACAAAGTTCCTCATCTCATATTTGTAAACACTTAATCTGCCCTTTTTTCTAAATTACAAATAAATTAATTTAAAAAATATTTTAAAGAGAACATATTAGAAAAATCAATATTATATCATAATGCATGATACTGTATTTTTTTTTTTTTTTTCAAATCATTTAGGCCCTTCATATGAGTGGATAGTGGCATATAGTGTATTGATTTTCAAGTGTATTATATTTTTATCTATGACATGATGTTCAAAAGCAAAGCATACAATGCTGAGAAGTGCATTACCCAGGATAAAACCATTTCACTCTCAAATTACATCGCCCACAGCACTAAGATTTGATTTGCTTTGTAGGTACCACGGGCCATAACACATTCACACAATGGTGACAGATGAAGCGACGGTCATTACAGTTTGCTCCCATAAACTGCTTAATCAATTAGGCCACTATTGATCTACTATTATAGACATATTAATTTAAGGTGTTAAATGAAGGGATATCTGAATTGCTACTGATGATATTGATATATAACAGGACAAAGACTCTTATGTTTCAAATGTTACGTGATCCTTCAAAGGATAGTATACAATACACTATGACAACACAAGTTACAATGAAAAACAAAATCATAATATATACATGCTTTTACGAGTACAAGATCCAAGGCATATTAAACGGAAAGAATCAATAACAAAGTAATGATAGCATTACTGTCGGCATTGTGGATCATAAACACCAAATAAGTCTTCATTTCCAGACTGCAATAATGAGTACAAAACATGAGACAGATGTTAATAATGGAACAAAAAAAGAAAACAAATTGGAAAATTATAAATAGAACTGACTTATTAAATATAAATTATAGTGTACCACAGCATTGTGCCCCTATTTATTATAGTTGTCACTTTATTTATTATTACTGTAACTTAATGAAAGATTTTCAGAGGGTGGGAAAACATTGAAGCAATATGCTTCTGATAAACACATCAATACAAAGAGAAAAATAAAAATGAAATTTATTGACAAATTCAAAAATTGATCATGCCAAAAGAATGCGATTTAAATAATTTATAACCATGTTGATATTAATAATTGTTTATTTGTGAGTGAAAACAAAACTTTTCCTTTCGGGAAGTTTTACAGTGATGGTGTGTGTGCTATCAGACCTGGTATAAAAATTTTAAAGTTTGCTTTAATTCATTTTTGGTGTGCAATGGGTTTGCAAAACAAGGTATAAGTTTTGATTTACATTTAGGAAGTGTAGCTTGCTTGAATGAAGGGAAGAATCGAGCATACACATGGTATGGCTATTTGTTCCCATTCTCTTTTTTGGTTCTAAATAAAAGTTCTGGGCAAAAAAGGAACACTGCCTGGTATACTGAGGTTTACTTCTACTTTGAAGCATAAATCACTATGGAATAATGATTTAATAACTCAAGAGGGTTAGAGGAGACCAGAGGGTAATGAAAAGCAGGACTGGTTGCTAGCCTAATCACTCATCTGGCCCTGGCAATATCACCTTCCCAGATGAAAGTCAATACCGTATGTATTTCTCCTTCTCTTGAATGAGTTTGTTGAACTTTGTGAAAACACAAACATCTGTTTTCTCCCTTTGACTAAATTTAGTGTTAAATTGTGAAAAATGTTGTTGTTGACCATACTTCTATGATTACTCTACATGAAATATATTCGAATAAATATTTCAGGAGGTGACTTTTTTATAGCTATGTTTTAACAATATAGAAAAATAACTTAATGAATAATGAATAATAAATTAAGAAGTCCTTCAAATTTTAAGACCTACAGCGAGAATGATTTATAACGATGAAGAATGGCAGAGGCTTATAATATAATATAATAGTGAAAAAAACTATGATCTGTTTAGAAGTGTTGAAATTATCATTGCTTTTCTGCTTGATGTGCTTAGCTCTGATATTATTTTTTTTATGTTCTTATCTATTAAAATAAATAATAAAATTAAAGTACTAATAACATAGTCAGTAATATAAATAGATTAATTATTAATCAAATTATTATTGTGGTTTAAGATATGATACCAGCTATTAACTAAGAATTGTGGGTTATCTCCAGTTACCTCACATGATTACATATGAGATAGGCCCAGTTCACAAAATGATTCAAACATACAGAGATGTCAGCTTTTGGCTATAAATAAACAATTTTATTTCCAAATTGTTCCCCTACAGGCCTACCAAGTTGCATTTAAACATTACTAGAGATATTCCAATCCTGGAGTACTATGCCCACATATTGATTAACACAATCCACATGTCTTAACTCTATCCTGATTGCAGCTCGGTTGGAGCTGAAATTGAGTTACTAGCACAAGACCTTATGCGCCATACCATTGACAAATTACCTGACTGGAGGCGGCCCTGCGAGTGTTGTGGATTCCAACAGCTACGCTTATCTCGGCCTGTAACTCAACACTAAGCAACCGTGGCTTTTCATGTATCCGACAGTTCATGAAGCTTTAATTCCATCCAACTCTTGGTGTATTCATAACCAGTATTATATTGACAAATGAGATATGGCTGGTCAATAATGATCAGAACACAGGTTGTCCTTGACAACCTGGTTGATATTATATTTTATAATAATTTTATGATCTTATGAAAATTTCCTTTTAAGCCAGCTCCAGTGCAAAACAATTTTTTGATATGTTGTAAAACTGATTTTTCTTAGACACAAAAAGAGACGTGTTTGACAAAAAACTTGGGAACGGCGAACGTGATACATATTTTTGAATATTTAAAAACTGGGGTAAATGGGCGTAACCACCTCTCTTTTCCAACTTTTTCCCCAATACACTTTTTTAAAAATAAAAACCAGCAAAATTTTTCCCAGGCTCAGTTGTTCTTATTTTTGGCCCAATTTCAGGCTCAAAATGTTCTTACTTTTTTCTTATTTTTACACACTTTTTAAACATAGAAAATTATTATTTTACAGTCAGTATAACTGTATTATAAAGAGTATTACAAAGTAACACCTACTGCAAATAAGGTACAGATAGATTTGTTGGTTTTCTATTTTTAAAAAAATAAAATCCTTATTTGATATTTTACCTCAATTTGTTCTTATTTTGTTCTTAATCTTTAAGAGATTTCAGCCTTACGCATTCTTATAAAATGTGTTCTGATAAAGACAAAGTTGACATTTTATTATATACTGCACATACAGAAAGTGGATTTAATTCCAATATTCTGCAGATATTTTTTCCACGTAATTTAATATGTGGATTTAAGATTTTGCAAAGAATATAAGGTAGGACCAGTATTTCTTGTCTATTTTTAATTGAAAGCTAAACAAACACCTAAATATACAAAGTAAACAAATACCTAAAATATTTAACTTCTTTACAATACTACAGTAAAACCTCTGTTTTACGAACATCGATGTTATGAATAGTCGACTTACAAATGGTCTTTGCTCTTGATGACATCATCATTGACCAATTAATAACGTAAAAAAAGATGTACGTTTTTCAAACTGATATGTATAATTTTCTTAATAAAATCAAGTTGTATTTATTTATTACTAGTTCAATCTTTTTTTCATTTCTGCTATAATAATCGCTATATTAGTGTAATAAACCTAACCAGAACAACAAACTAGCATACGTGTAAACAACATAATCTAAAAATCACGATCTAAAAACTTCAAAGAACACCATAGAAAGGTCCATAAAACATATACATGTTTTAATAAGAATTAAAACAATAGTTTGTTAAATGGGAGAATGCCACTGACTAGTATAATTTGGTTTTTATCAATGGTAAATTTAGCTAGGCTCTACCACCGTAGACCACGCTTGCCTATAGGTGCTCAATATCTGAGGATAGCTATGCCTAGGTAGTGGAAATTGACACCTGATCTAGTAACAAATTTTTCAATTTACGAATACCCCTTGGTACCAAGGGGTACGTAAAATAGATGTCTTACTGTATCTTGTATGCTGCTTATATCCTTTTCTTGATTCTGATTTTCAAAAATATTTGCCTATTTGTTTTTTCTTCAATATTCACTTTCTGGATACTGTAGTTTTGAACAATTCAAAATATTTATTAAATCTCAATTCCCTTTGAATAAGTAATAAAGATAAATATGACAAACAAAAATCATGATAAGTGATAAGAAAGAGTTAAAGAAGCCTACAGTCATTATTGTTGCCCCAGTCTTTGTTTAGTTACCCTCCATTGAACCTTTTCTTCTCTCTATACTGCATAATTCTGAATACCTGAAAATGGCCTTACATTTTGGCTGTCAATCACTACATCCGAATAAATAGGCAATCAAATTCAAAGAACAAAATTCAATCCTTCGTGTTATAGTTTGTATGAACATGAATAGTAAATTTCGGTGTATTATTAGTTTTTTTCACAACTATCAATAAATTGCTGTAGGTGCTCCATATTCATTCAAGAGGGGGAGCTGTAGTTTGGTGGATATTATGCTTGGTTACAAAACCAAGGTCCCTGGTTCAAGTCCTGTTGCCAGTAGCAATGCCAGTGGGATGCAGGGAGAATAACCCTCATTGGACAGGTCCCCATCCCTTATTTTTGGGGCACTAATACATTCTAATGTTATTTTATTTATTTATTCAACTTTCTTTTATGAGGGCAGCTCTTACAGCGATGCTGACTCAAAGAGGCCCTCATAACAAATAAAAAACATACAGTATAACAAAACAAATACAGTAATACATGTAAAATATATAAAGCACAATTATAAAATAGATTTTCGTTAAAATTTTTAAAAAACAATTGCATAAACAAGATATAAAATTTCAATTTTAATAAAAGCAGTCATTAAGATGATTTCAGTGCTATTTTTAGAATGTTAACATTTTAGATTGTTTTAAATTGTTAAAATGTTACTGTAGGGATTGAACTCCCATTCTGGAAAAGGAAGTTGGCAACTAACCACCAAACACATTTTATATATTTTTAGTTTACTTTATTTTATTTTAAATCATCATCCAACAGCGAAAAGCAATTTACAGGATTTCTTAAATTCCGGTACATTTTATAAAAACATTAAAAATACTGTACAAAAAAATTTGTACACATTTTTTTCAAGTTTTCTAGACATATACGATAAAAGAATTAAAGGAAAAATTCAATTTTTATGTAGGCCTATGGTTAGTATACTCTATTATATTATATAAATACAAAAACATTAAGCATTTCCTTTTGAATGAATGATCTTTAGTGCATAGTGTTGTCCTTAAATACCCCGGTACTTAAGAGTGTATTAATCTTAACTGCAGTGATTTGTTTGTATGGGTTTTTTCATGTTTTCTAGACAAATACGATAAAAGAATTAAGGGAAAAATTCAATTTTTATGTAGGTCTTTGGTTAGTATACTCTAGTTAGCTGTTATAAGGTCTACCAGTGCATATAAAACTTACATGTACACTAAATCATTACTCAGTGGTTGCTGTGGGAGCAGTAAAATTGCCAAAAGAATGCAACGCTTGGGAGTAGTAAACTTGAAAAACAATCTGGTGGAAGACCTCTGGGCTCGCAGCTTCCCCTGTATTACAAATGTGAATACCAACGGCAGATAATTTTTCCAGATTTCTACCTGATTAGATGTATGTAAAAGATTGTTTGAATGAGCAAAGAATTGCGATTCTGAATATCAGAAATATAAGCGAGAAAGTAAACAAATTAAATACTGAAGCTTGTTATAATTTTATCATTAGGTATGCTCCTTTTTATTGATTCCGATTTTCAAAAATATGTGGCTATTGGTTTTTTTTCTTTTGTATACACTTTCTGGATAGTTTTCATCAATTTGAATACAGAATAAATAATAAAAGATAAATTTGAGATCAACAAGCATGATCAGTGACAAGGAAGAATTTTTTTTCTTGGAAGCCAAAAGTCATTATTGCCCCAGCCTTTGTTTTGTTACCGTTCAGTAAGCCTTGCCTGGTTAAGTGTGCAAAAGTAATTGTTCTTTGGTAGTTTCATATATTATTTATGAATGCAATAAGAAAATATATGCAATCCACTAATACTGCTAACTTGCAACTTATACACTAATGAAGATACTAATAGCGCTTTAGTTAACTCTATGAATCAATAAGTATTTCCAACTTTACCAATTAAGCGCTTAATGCTCTGCATAGCAACAATAGCACACAGATAATGTTGTCATTGGCCATTATTGTGCCTTTGATTCTTCAGTTTGTTAATAAGGACCTCAATAAGCTATAAGCTTTGTTTGGACAAATTGAAAAGAGACTCAAAATTTTCCTTGGACCTAGGTACAGCAACTCTAGCCTTATCCAAATATATAGGATGCGCACAACAAAGGAATCATCTATAAGAACCCCTCCTTCAAAAGAAACCAACAGTCGCATGGAAGACCTCTCCAGATCTTTTATTACTAGAACAATACAGCCCCATTAGAAAGGATAAACAATTTAGTACACTTCTTTGTACAAGAGACGCTTATGCTAATTGGGAGACTTGGTTATATTAGATAGATTCAGCAGCAATTCGGAAGATCAAATGTTTAGTAAAATCCAACTACCGTATCAGTGAATCTATATGTTAAGTAAATAATTATACTTTACATACCTGGGGCGGACTTATTGACACATGTCCAGAACTGCGTCTGCAAAACAAATATACATTAAAACATTGTAAATAAGATAAGAATTAGAATAATAAAACATTATGTATCCTGATGATGTCTACATAGATGCAATGATGATTGAACTAGCCTGTTTTTTCACTAGGAAAATTTATTTGCACGAAACGAAAGACTTGGTTCGCTTCCTGAGCTCTGATTGGTTGTGCATTTTTTTGCTTCGCAGAAGGTAGAAACAATTCAAACTACTAATTTTGCTGAAGTGAAAAACTCTGATAGAAATGTGAATGCGCAAGCGCATAAGCCGACACATTCGATGCCCACAAACAAATTTGCCTAATGTCAGTTTTTCAGATACTGTCGATTGAATGGTTGACTGCAGCTACTAAAACAACTGATTTTAAAACAAATTTTACTCATAAGAGAAATGATTGAATTGCTAGTCATTTGTCCCTAAAGAATTTGTTGAGTCAACTCTGCTTGAGCATAACTTTGAGTATTAATATTATGCCTGTCAGAACAAAGTGGGATGTACATGTCTTAACACATTTAGAAAGTTTAGGTTTTTAAAGTTTACCTATAGTCATATTGGTCAGATAGTTTGAAGAAGTGTATAGGTTTTAGAAATTTATGTCAACATGCACATTTTGAATTTACAACAAGAAACAAACATGCATCTACCTATTAGGATCCACCTTTGGTTTAAAGCTTTTATAGAAAGACAGATGAATGGAGGTGTGATAAGTTCACTACATGACCACATGGACTTCCACTTTGATGAAGTAAATTTTTTTGCTTTTTCAAAATAATCACAAAGCTTTTGCAACAATTAGTGCCATGGGAAACACAAATTACTTCAACTTATTTTCTTGAACATATAGTGCCTACATATAATCACTTACCAGCACAGGTGGGCAACGATTTTTCATATTGCCAACATGCTGTCTCCTGCCTGCTGAGGTAGACTCAATTGCCATCTGTAAACATAAAAAAAAAAAAAATCCAAATTACATTATTATATGTTTCCAACCAAAGTGGGTCACTTTTGTCTTAGCAGAGTAGGCCACCTCCAACAGCTAACATCAACTAGTATTATGACAAGGCTAACTACAGAAGTGTAGACTTACTACTTAGGATCCAAAGTTCATATTAAACCAGCTTAAAAGGAAGATCTTAGTTTCTTATACCATACCTCCATGCACATTTACTTTATTTTGTATATAGGACCTACAGTGATTCCTGATGATGACATAATTAATGTCGAAATATTGAATCCCAACACGATGGCGTGTATTTCAATACTTGGAGTATGTATTATACTTTCTTATCTGAGATTAATCAGTGGACCTTTCGGTTTTTAGGACCTACAGAATGTATAGGATAGCAAAAAAAAAAATGCACATTTTACTGTATTTGCAATTGTGGTGATACTCTTGGCCACCAAACTTTTGGACACAGGTGGGCAAATTGCGACTTGCAAATATGAATTAAAAACCCTATGTGTGCGGCCCGCCAAGCAACATTGGCTAAAAGGCACTTTGTTTTTTTACGGCCCGACACCGATCATACAGTATGTAAAAAGTAATATTAAAACTGGGAATAGAGTGGTGTAAAAGCAGTGGTTGGAGGTTTTGGAAGCGCAATGAAAAGATCAATGTTTGGGTGCGGCCCTCAGTGTTAAATCAGAAATTTACCTTGGCCCTCCGACCGAATTTTAAGCTCACCCCTGCTTTTGGAAGACAATAATACAGTAGCTAAAATGGTTGGGTTAGTTTCCAACAGATTTCTGTTTGCTTGATGACGTGCGTGCGGGAGACCATGTCTGGGTGATTCCTACAACTCGCAGGCAACTTGGAAACCCTGACTTGTCACCACTCACAGCTTTACAAATTTTGATTGATTTTGCTTCAGTATACAACGTAACATTGATACAAACATTTCTCTGTATGATATTATCATTATCATCAAAACTACTGCTCAATTCAGATATTGAAAATAGCCACATTAATTAAGCAATGTTTACTCTGAAAATCTATATTCCTACCTACCCAATACAGTATTACTGTAGGTATTGAATAGTATGAATACCATTGATTAGGAACGTCATTTTGTGTCTAAAGCAACTGGAATGAGTGTAAACAGACAAACAAAGCCAGTCATTTAACAATTAACATCCTCAACCTATACAGATGTTTCCAACAAATAGAACCTGAAGGTAATAGTTTGAAGTGTTTGTTCCTGCTTTTAAAAAAGCATGGTACTATACCTTGTTTACCAAAACTGACAGCAGATGGTGAGGCTACAATACCACATATTTGACAGTGACTTCAAACATGTTAAGTTGAAGGCATGTACCACCATGATAGGAGGTGACACTAATTAGAAAGATGACTAACAACCAGACTTGTACATGTATTGAGTAGGTTTAGGTCATAAGGGTCTACCGTAAATGATAATGGGCATACTGTACAAGAAAATGTCAGTCTAAATTCATATTATTAAAGATAAGTTGTTTGAGGAGTTCATAATAATAGTAACAATAGCATGCAATATTTTATTTGCTCCAATATTACATAGAACTTGTATAGTACCATAGTTCCCAAGCCAGGTGTAAGCCCACATTGGGATAATATGTTGCCCCTTCTCACAAAAAGTCACTCTCCCTCTATAAATTTGATTAGCAAAAATCCTCTCTAAATTTGATTAGCAAACAAAAATATCACTCAAGTAAAAGATAGAGAGTTTATAAATGAATGGTAATTGATCATTTATGCCATACCTTAAAGATATGCGTGCCAAAACATTTGGGGACAAAATTCCAGAGAAACAGTCAAAAGAAATAGCCTTGTTCTGATTAACAGACATTTTTCTACCAAACTCCTTAAAAATTACCAATTTAAGGGCCTTACAAATGAATAATTCATAATTCTTAATTAATATTTAACTCAAATTAGAGACTGATAGGTAACAAAGGGAACAGGTCCCTGTACAACAGAATAAAAATATGACATTGTAACAATTCAAGAAAACAATCCAGTACAAAATTAATACAGTAGAATACAGGAGAGTATTACTTAATTGTCTGTTAATTGACAGGAATTTTTTTTTCTCATTAAAATTAAAATTGTAGGTTAATAATTTTCTTGACTCATGCTTATAAAGCTGTGACCACACTTTTAATGGTAGTAGATACCTGCGAATTACCCATATAGATGTTATAAAAACTCATCATCTCCTTATTTGGGCAAATTACATGTATACTCTTTGTTACCGAAAATTTTAGTTCGATAAGAGTTTTACTTTTAAAATGCATTTAACTTTGCTGGTGGAAGGTGCGGAGTGCAGGAGAACTGGCTACTGTAGGCTACAGTAAGTAACAATGTCCCATGAAACACAACCACTTAGCAAAGACGAAACTGCTTAAAGTGTTAATGTATAGTTCCTCCATGCATCTAGTATATCACCTTCACACTCTAATTTACAACAAAGTTTTGGCCTTTGGTGATGTTAGTCTTGATCAGCCAATCAAACGAGCTGTTTCTCTGGAAACCTCCTCAATTAGTCACTTTTTAGACAACAGTATCAAATATCTCAGCGGCATATGCTGGAATCCTGAGGCAATTAAAGATAAAGTGCCTACCATCCTATCACTTTTTTGGAAAATGAATAAATATTTTCATTTCTTATTGTATTGACAAATTGTTTCATGGTGGCCAAATTTCAAAAATTGTATTTTGAAAGTTAATACAGTACATTAGGCCAATAAAAAAAAAAATATTAGTTTATCACCCTATCTAGGCCAGGGCGGATCAAGTAGGGGAGCATGGGAGGGGGGCATGTGACCACGTTTTGCCACTAAATTTTAAAATTTCAAGGCATTGAAATTAGAGCTCTCACTCATCTATTCTGAATATGTTGTTTCCATCCTCCCTCCCCCAAAATATAATTTTTCAAGATTTCTTAAAGTGGGAGAATAAGGAGAACAAACCCCACAAATTTATAATGCAATTGGATAATTTTGGTAGACAAAACAGTATGCACCAGTGAACACCACACCCTTCCTCCCACATCGTCATTCTGCCTCTGGTTCCACCAACAATGGAGAACATTTGTTCTAAAATGTGAAAAATATTTTGATAAAGATATATTTTGAATAACTATAAGTATTAAATTCAAACCAATCTATGATCAATTATGAAAGAAGAGTAAAACCACAGATTCCATATGTATTTAGGATGTGGGTAAACCATGCCAGTATTCACTTTGCTCCTGGTTTTTGAACAAAATACAAAAAGCCCATTTGGAATGCTGTTGATAGATGCTGTACAGTAAATGATTCAAGGCCAAAAAATTAATAGAGTCCATTGAACTTGAGGGTCTCTATTTTTTACTAAAAAGTACAAAGGATCCTTTTGTAGCCCAATTTACATTTACTGACCAAGCAGGAGCCAACATTTGAAGCACAGAATCAGTAATTATCACCGTCCACTTGCATGGGTCATATTACAAATGATAGGGAATGTCAGATCTGATAGTAAAAACAAAAATTGACCAGGACCAGCTCCTGGTTCTGAGCATTTTCCCCAAAAGAAATTGCAAACAAACAAATGTTGGCCTTATTTTATTGAAAACAGTGTGTATAAAATATAGAATAATTGACTGGCATTAAATTGATCATACAGTAATATGTCTACCCTATGTGATTTACATTTAATAGTATTAATCTTGACATAAGCAATTGACAGATTTCACAATTTTTATCAGTGATGGAATCTGACATACACAACACAAGCCAAAAGTGAAATTGATATCTTAACCTCATAAATTTCAATGTTTTACTCTCAATTCTGGTGAAAACAGATCACTATAGAGTAGAATCACCATTGGTTCATAGTGGAGCATAGTACATGTGAAAATTAGATTAGGTGAGTGAGGAATTTTTCAAAGCCATTACCTTCATGAAATTAGGCAAATTATGAACAGACTGCAAGCGTTAGTCGGTGTCTTTATTTACTCCCTGGTTCCAACCAGGCAATGATGCTGGGGCATGCAAACACAGAGCCCTAAACTAAGGCGTGATGAGTATTTGAATAGTCGGAAAGAAGATTAAGACATGTAATTAGAAAGCATAAAGTTAATGATTCGAAACTAATTGGAAATCACTGTGAACTAACTACTGTACAGTACCAAATCAAAGTTAAATCTGCCAATCGTTTTAGCAAATTACTCTTAGCAGATCAGATTTAAATAAAGAAATCTTGAATCCTGAATCATAGATCAATCATTTGTCTGAAAAATAATAAATTCTCATATTCTATATCATTTACTGTAAATTTTTCATTAGAGACAGGTAGGTACAACCAGGTGCATATCTAGGGGTGAATGGGGGATGCATACATCCCCCAAAAAATACACCCCCATTGAAAATGTCCATAGCAAAAAAATCATGCTGTAAGTGGTTAAAATCACCTTATTTTGTGACCTAGTCCCCACCGACATAATATTTGCAACCCCACCACTTATCAGCTCCCCCATTTCAACTCTCCTGGG